ATGAAAGATGGGTTAACGCCTGTTTAACTGCCGTTACGATGAGAGCGAGAAATCGACGTCAGCGAAGATTACTTCGAGCGCCATATGCCTGGTCAGTTCCGCGACCAGTCGAGTCGTTTGCTGTTTACTGACAAGCGATGACAGTTACCGCTGTGATAGCTATTGTTCAGCCCGAGTTTTCCGAAATCTACCTGCCCCACCCAAGCACTACGGCGTCTTTGATGTTTAGGCCGGTTTTCAAAGTTTTTGCAAACTGGAAAAGTTAGGCTCGCAGTAGGCAGTGTGCCCCGATGACAGATTTTTACACCAAAGTGACCACATTCACACCAAACTGCCAAGTGCGACCCATGCATAGAAATAAGGATTTTCACTCGCTTAAATTACACCGACCTAAAACTTGATTTTCTGGGATAAGGAGATAGGAAAGATAATAAGCATCTGGTCTTGACCGGCCCCTAAATCGCGTGAGTAGCCAAGACAGAATCTGTCCTTATAATATCAAACTGACAAGAGTTAAGAATAAAGAAAAATTTAAATTCGAGAATTGTTAGTAGATCCAGTACCAAGTTCTCTGAACTAACATAGCAAGAATTGTATATCAGACAGCAAGGAGAATAACAGCTGAGATCTTGGGAGTGAAGAGTTCAACAATTTGTCATAGAGTTTTAAAGAAAAACTGCAAACAGCAGTCACTTAAGAAGAAGAAATTCTTTTCATAAAGAATATTAATTTATTTCATATTTTTACAATACTATTTATGGGTAATATATTAATTATTTTTCAAAACACATTGGTAACTTTGCTCCTTATTTTTACACCCATGTGAATAATTTAGGCAGGCTTCATGATATTTACTTTACTCATCTCCTATAGCCTGCACAATAACATCATTAAATAATTTTTTGGAGAAAACTGTTTATCAAAATAAGCTGTGGCATATTCTTGACTAGCCAAACTGACTGTTTCAGAACAAGTATTCATCATTTGAGTCATAAAATACTACAAAAAAATTTCTCATGCATTGCAAATGTAGAAAATAAGTAGACTACAGTATAAATGCTGTTTTAATTTGCCCACAATATGCAACTTGTTCCCAAAAATATTTAAATTAAGCCTATTAGATATTACCTTATAAATTCTGCCAAGAAGGAGGGGGGTATTTAATTAAGAAATTGGGGTGTGTCTTGCAGGGATGCCAACCTGTGGAGATCTAAAATATGGAGATTTATTCTTATGCCTTCACAGCATTTACTCAGCAATACCCCCGCAACTACAAAATTATTACCTTCCCCCCCTCCCAATTGAATCAATCTCCCTTCCCAAAAAATGAAGAAAGCTTTTACCTAGTTTTGGTCAAGACATAGTTGCATAAAAATGCTTTGAGAAAAGGTGAGACAAGCTTGTAAAACCAAAATTGTTTTAATTTGAGTAAATCTAGGGATACGATGTCAGCCTACTGTGAGTGGAGCAAAGCTCTTGAAATCTGGTTCATCACTGTTATCTAAGAGATTTGGTGAACAGGGGACAGGAAGACTTGTTCTGTATCCAAGAGACTCTCACATGATCTGGGAGAGTTGGCACATACCATATTGGTATGGGAAGGGGGGGAGACGAGGAGGTGGGTCAAAATGACATCATGCTATATTACCTTTACCTTTACAGTGATTCATTTGTGCACAATGCAATGTATCATTGGAATTTGATTAATTCAATTGCACATTTAAATTATATTGCTTTTAAGCCACTTTGTTTGTCGTTATATTTTCTACAATTCTAATGCTTTAAAATTATCAGTTTCTATGGAAGACATTTGCATATAGCTGTAATAGCAAATCATCTCTTAGTTTTAACTATTTCAATTTAGAGACACTTAAAAAGAACTCTCAAATCCTTATTAAATTCTAGAAACTTAACTGTTACTTTTTAATCAAAGCTAACTGTCATTTGTATCTCAATTTTAAGTGGCAGTTGAATTGAAATCTCTGTGCTTAGCTTAGTGAAATAAATTTAATTTTAAAAAAAAGCTCTAATCTACACTTACTAAAATATGGAATTTGACTGCGCAATGTCCCACACAGTATTAAGAACTCCTGCAATACCTGAAGCTTGAGGCTCTACTCTACTGTAGGAAAGAAAGCACTTGGCCAAAAAATGTTGTTGATGGTGATGAGAATTTGACTATCTAGTCATCATGATGTTTAAGATGCTGCAAATTTCCAGTGCGCATTCTTCGCTTTAGGATGGTGTCTTTCGAGATGGTTTTCAAGTCATATGCCAGTCCAAGCAATGCACAAAGGTCAATGAACCACTTTGAGGGATTCATTGGTGAACCCAACTCACTTGTAGCATAGTCCTGTGGAAATGTGTGATGGAAGTTGTGAAATCCTTCTCCACCAGTTGCCAAGACAACAGTGAAATTCTCAGAAGGATTAATGCTCTCATCATATGGTCTTGATCCCCAGAGGTGAGCCAGGCTGTTTACACACCATGTGGCATTAAGGGTGACGACATAACGGAATGCATAACAAATAAAGAATCCATTCCAGACACTTTCATTCCAGAAGAACCATGGCACAGCTACTGGCATTAAAATGTTGAAAACTATCACGAGTAACTTGTAGTTCCTGGAGAAAAAAGTAAAAACATTTTTAATGCAATGTTTCATGATTATCAAATCAAGGACAAAAATATATATATATTGTTCTGACTCACTAGTAAACAACCATTGTTTAAAAAATTCACATAAATTTCTTGTAAATGCTCTTTCACTTTCAGTTTATAACTTGATTAGTTTCATGTTTAAAATTAGAGAATATGCATCATTAGTTCAATCAAAAGAGTAAAAAAAAAAATTAAATTAGTGCAGGAGAAAAATGGACAATTCAGGAGAAAAGGGTCATATTTCAATTGAGGAGACAAGGGTCATATTTTCTAGGTGTTTGTATGGGCATAGCAATGAGTGCCTTTTGATTTCCTGTTTTCTTTGACAATTTTGAGCAGAATATGTACTAAATAAAAAGTTGTTTACAAAGAATCGATTTAGGTGTCAAACTCCAAGGTAACAAAAGGCAAATTAGATCAGTGGAAAACATGAAGGTATGTGAAGAATGCATGAAAAATTGGCCTGCAGCAAGTTTAACTGATGTGAACTTTGGGAGAGGACACCCTGTCTAACAAAGTTTAGGTTGTTATGTAATGGGACAAAACCTCCTCTAACATGGCAAATAATGACTGTGGAGTATGAAAATTAAACATGGAGTACCTAATTCCTCAAGCATATCCACATGGCGGTTGATTTAAAAAATATGTAATATTCGACGTTCTCTTTAACCTTTGCCAAATCAGAAACCAAAAGGCAAAATAAACCATATGCCATGTATGGAAATACCTAATTAATGCTAAGAGTTGACATTCACACAAATTAACATACGCTAACTAACTGCGACAAAAGTCAAAGCGTGATGCTGATTGGTGGAATCGATCCCAGTTAAGGTAGCTGTGGCGACAAGGTTTTCCTTTTCCGCATAGAGGGGGAGAAAATATTAAATTGTGAGTATTTGGAGACAAAAAAGCAAAGATACCTTCGTTGAAACATAACAATTCCATCTTCGTACAAGTCACTCAGGTCAATCTGTTTTCCCCTCGCAATGACATCAGGATGTTTTCGAACCAGCAGCCATCCTACGTGTGAAAAGAAGAAACCGTTTTTGGCATTGTGTGGGTCGGCATCGGTTTCAGAGTACTTGTGGTGCACGCGATGGTCTCTGGCCCATTCAAAAATGTCGTTCTGAGCAGCGATGCAATTCATTATCATCAGAGCAAGCCTCAAGGGCCAAGTTGCTTTGAACGAACGGTGAGACCAAAGTCTGTGGACGCCGACTGTAATACCAAGCCCGCCAAAGAAGTGACATAACCAGGTCCAAACCCAGGTACGTGGGTTTGCGCTAGGCAAAAGAGAAATGCCGTATATTGCCATCAGGTGCAGCACTACCATAAAGTAAACATTGAACCAAACAATTTCCCGCTCGGTTCGTTTCCGTTTGTTGTCATCGCAAATCTTATCGGGCTCGACTATGAGTGTTTCTGTCTGTGTTGTGCTTCTAGGAGGCATAATTACTCTGCAAAAATAAAATATAGAATTCAATGATTGGAATTACATTTTTCCCGCATGCGAGCAGCGGAAACTTTGAGTCCAAACGAAATGAATTATTAAAATGCGTTATGTGCCAGGGGAAAGCCGTACAGGTAAAAAACCCACAAGTTTCAATATTGTAAAGAGAGGCAGGGAATTCAATCGAGCTTTTTAATAAATAAGAAGCGTTGTCGTTGACAAAGAAATCATGACATCACAAGGCCGGGGAAATTTGCACGAAAATTAGCAACAAACTTTTTTCCATAACTTTGTTGAGCAACTGAGTAATGCTAATTGCATATTGGCTTCACACGCGAAATCATCATAAAACTGGGCGAATTATCTAGTTGAAGCTACATTTTCTGTACGGACTTTGGTATTTTTGCATATTCCTCATTACCAAAGTAGAAAAACTGTCAATTTTTTAAATCTATTTTATAATCCGTTGTAGGATTTTCCGTGAAAATAACCGGAATTATTTTGGAATAACTCTTCTACGGTTTACAAATTCGTTATGAGGGATCCGAACATAGTACATTTTCAACTAATTGCGTAACACAGTTTTATCTCTCGCAAGTAAATTATTGGAACTAACGAAACACATCAAGTCTTCAATTCTAATTAGATAACGACATGCGAAACGATTTTTAAGTGAAATCGAACGAGATTTATTCTCTTACCTCAACAAAATTTCCTGTGTGGATGAATTTCCCTCTTCAAATGCAAGAACTGCTCCTCCGACATCGACTGAGCTCGGAAAAAGTTTAATCCAAAATTGTTTAGACGGAGGCTTTATAAGAACGTATCCCAATGTTTGGCACGTTTAGGTACACTCAAGGTCGCAAACTGCAAGTGTTGTTTGTTTGTGAGGAGATTCTCTATTTTCATCTGAAGAATTAACTTCCAAAAATGTTTCTTTACAAACCATTTCCTGATATCTTTCTATTCAAACTAACGTCAAAGTTTAGAAAAGGTATTTGAGTGAACAAAAAATTTTTTCTCTCGTTTTTATAACCCCGAAACGCAAATGTTTTACGAATCATTTGAGTTACCTCTCGAATCGTCGCCGTGTTCATCAACCCCGTAAAAGCTCGCTCATGATTGGTTAGATTTAAAATAACTCCCGGTCACTCAAGGTTACGTGGAATTTAGATGATTCAATTCACGTGCGCTTAGATTTTAGAAACCTGTCGTAGACAAAGTTTTTGCACGTGAAGAAAGTAATCATTTAAAGAAGAGTTTTTTTTTTTTTACTATCCCCTAACGTTGCGTAATTAAACATGCTGAGGATTGTGAACGAATTTATTATTTTGATGTAGGAAAGTCGACAGTCCTCGCAGGAAAAATATGTTAAAAAATTTTTGAAGACGGTGGTGGAAGCAGAGAAATGTTAACGAATGATCTGTATAGGAAGAAACACCCTGGCCAAAATTCCGTCAGCATAAGGTTTTAATTCTGTAAATTGTTTTTTTCGTCCTGAGACCAATTTTTTTTACTGCCTCGAGGTATTGGTATCGAACATTGAACTGTGAGTTGTTTTGGTGTTTTATGAAGGTGTTTTGGGGTTTTTTTAACCGTCTAGGTTTTTTCAATGTTCAAGGTCTGTCAAGGTCTGGCCCACACGACGGGTTAACTCAGCTGTTGGTTCTGATCTTGAAAGGTATTGTCTAATTTTCGGATTAGTGTAACTTAAATGTCGTTCTTGTGAGAAGAAATCTGGGAAATTAAATTTTACCCGTTTAGTTGGTTAGCTCAATTGGTAGAGCGCCGGACTGTTGTGCGGGAGGTTGTGAGTTCAAGTCCGGCCGGACCAACACTCAGGGTCTTTAAATAACTGAGAAGAAAGTGCTGCCTTTGTAATAATATCTGCAAATGGTTAGACTTTCTAGTCTTCTCGGATAGGGACGATAAATGGAGGTCCCGTCTCACAAGCCCTTGTATGTGATAAAAAATTTGTAGGATGTTAAAGAACCCACACACTACTGTTCGAAAAGAGTAGGGCACGTAGTGCCCGGTGTTGTGGTCTATCTTTGTGTAGTGTCTATCAAATTGATCAAATTGATGGGGGGGTACTGCGCCTTTGAATATTGTATAGAAAGGGCGCAATATAAATAAGGAATTTATTCATTCATTCATTCTTTCTCTTAAGTTTCTTGTTTGGGTTTCAGTCGAGCTCTTTTAGGTGAATCATGAAAGTTCTGTCGGTTAGTTTCTACTCGCGACTGCATGATATTGAACAGGAAACGAGACAGACAAAACAGACAATTTTACTCCTACTAAAAGAATTCTCAGAAATCATCTTGGCTAACATCCTTTTTATAAGTGCTGGACATCAATTGAATTAAACCTTTTTGTTTATAATACAACGCTGAAGAAATGGCAAGTTAAGAGCAATTAGTGACCTTTTCCTCACCGCTGTTATGTCTGGAAACAGTTTGGGATAACTTTCACACAGGCTTATTTGTTAATTGCCCAAAACCTTTGAACGAAGAGGCAAATAATTATAACGCCCCATGTGAATATAATTGTTTAAACCATGCATTCATACGAAAGAAGACCGGGTTTTATGCTACTAACAAGAAGGAAGGGAAGATTTTGTATAAGTAACGTTGGCAGTTCTATGGGAAGGAACGTAATATCACGGACAAAAGTGGCCATTATAGCGAAACAGCAACTCTCTAAAGAGTTTTCAGTTTCTATTTATTGATAATCATCTCTCCTGCTAAGCTTCTAATACTTATAACAGCGAGTAACTGGCTTGATCAGTATATAAATTTCTTTGGGATTCGGCAAAGAAACCCTCGCTATAACTTCTTTCTTTAGAAATTTTACGATATTTAAAAATCCCTTGAAATTGTTTCCAAAAGTGATTTACATGTAATTCATAGATAGCAAGGAATAAGAAATGCCAAGGGGCATTGGAGCTGTGCTAACAATGGACAAGTGTTAGGGCGATTCCCTACAGATTTTTATCTCTATCGTTCGTGACTACTCTACTGTCTGCTGCATACTTTCTTTTCCTATTTCACTTTTCCTATTGTGCTTCATGATAGCATCTGATTAGTTGAGAGAGAGGCGTGTGTTTTCTAGGCCAGTCACAGAGCGCCTTGAAGTTATTTAACTCGCGTCCAAATGATATTGGCGAGACACCCCTATGAAACTTGGCACCAACCCCCCTCTGACCTGACCCCCGTAACCTCGGGCGATAGAAATTTTGTGGTTTATCATCTCTGCTATTTGAATATTCACACGCAAGAATAAACTTTTTTCATGCCAGACTTTTCTCTGTTTCTCCATAAGTTGCTAAATCAGAAGTATTCCGTGGCAGATTTTTTGCCACGTAAATATTTAATCATAAAGTTTTACTCCGGAAACCAAAAAAAAGAAACCGTTTTTGTCCCTCACCAAAGATATTTTCCGGTCTCTGTTTTCCGAATAAATGAAAACATATTAAAGAAGAGAAAAGGCTGATCGTATTTCAAGGTTCTCACTTAGGCGTAATAATATGGATGTTGCTTCTCCAGCCTTTGCCCCTACGTGCGAAATACGCCTGGAAATAAAAGTTGTGTACACGGAACTGACATGTACAGGAATAAAGTCCAAGGTAGCTTCTAGCGACTTGATTGGTAGAGAACGTCATAACACTTGAGAATTACGAGGGAAATTGGCTATCTATAGCATTTTGTTCGCGTAAATTGTTTTCACTGTGGTGGAATCCGTTTTCATGTTTGGGTGGTTTGCTGGCGGGTTATGTGCCAGAAATCATGATGGATATCGGGAAAATCCTCTCTGGACACCATTAATAAATCATAGAAAACTTCTTAAAGCAAATTAGCGGACCGCTAACATGGCAGTCGAAGCAGTTAGTAAATATAGCTGATCTTTTCATCCTTCGCCAAGTGAGCAACCAGTGAGGGGGAATAAATTATTTAATGTGAGTAACGAACACCCAAAGTTTCCCATAATTTCGTGGTGGTTCCGTCGACCAGATGAAAACAAGCGCTGCATTATCTCTTGATAAAAAATAAAAAAAGCTGTCTTTGATCGTCGGAAAAAGCTATTTTGTACTTGTACAAAGTGCAACAAGCCCAATGCCGCGGTTTTAATGGTCTGCGAGAATCAAATCTTTTTGTTTTAATCTTGTTTTAATCGGTGCAAGCAACACACCCTAACGAATCTGATTGGTGCGAACAACATACCTTAACCAATGTAATTTTTTGCGAGCTACATTTATTACAAATCTGATCGTTGCGAGCGTCGTGCTCTAACAAATCCATTGCTGCGAGCAACATACTCTGCGCAATCTGATTGGTGCGAGCAACACAATCCGAACGAATTTGAATACTGTGAGCTACCGTACTCTAACGAATCGCATTGGTGTGGAAATCTTATTTCCTCTATGCAATCATGTTAGTGGGGAGGAACATCCTATCTATGATCTAATTAGCGCGAGCAGCAAGCTCTTTGCAATATGATTGGTGCCAGCAACATACTTTTCGTAATCTGAATGGTGCGAGCAACATACTTTTCGTAATTTGAACGGTGCCAGCGACATTCTTCAACAAATCTGAATGCTGTCTATAAACATACCCTCTGGAAGCAAAATAGGTGGGAGCTACGTACCCAGCGTAATCCGATTGGTGCAAATAACACCGCTTTCGAAGACTAAGATCTTGAACGATGACGTTATTCAGTAAATGACGCAGGCATACTTAAGGGTAAAAAAAAAATAGAACTGTTATTTCTTAATTCATTTCAAAAATAACTGAAAAATAGAAAGGTTTGTGGAAAATATCAAATATCGGGTGGTTTAATTTGAAGGCGTTTAACTGAAAATCGTTTTTCAGTAATCGTTGGCATATAGCTCTCTTTAAAATGTTTCCCTGTATCGATTAAAGGACTTAACTAAAGAAAGTGGAAATAGAGATCATTTTTGTCGCGCACGTGCATCTGCACAAAAGTAAGGGAAGTTAAGAGTTCATAATTGCTGTGCACGTGCACCTTCGAAAAGCACGTGAAATTAGAGTTCATTTCATAGACGCTGTTGTTGTGAACATTCAAGCTTAAACTTATTAATTGCTCTTCACATACATTGAACTCTGACGCTCTGCGTGCCGAAAACGAGTGTAACACGAGATAATGTACACTTTGTATCCTGTGATTTTTTTATAATTTTATTCCTCATGCGAGCGAAGGTAAAACAGTATCAGAGTTAAATCCTTTTGACCTCAAACGGGGCTTTTACGCCCAGAAGATGTATTCGTGCTCTTCGGTGGTCAATACTGTTAGTCAGATACTTTGGATATATCAACAAAGTTGAAATGGTAAATTGGCCACCGTAACGATTACAAAAGCTGACGTTTCGAGCGTTAGCCCTTCTTCGGAGCTGTAAACAGTCGCGTAGCGTGGTCATTTTCTTAAGTACGCACAAGTACAAATGTTCTAGAAACCTAAGTAAACTGAGTGAAAAAATATTGCGTTCTTATTTCTTGTTTGAAATAGTTGTGTGAATACAAGCAAAGAACAAAGCGTCTTGCCCTTATTTTGAGCAAACTTGGCGCAAACGCAACATTGTTTTCAGATTATTCTGGTCACTTCAAGTACTAACGTGCTTATATGCGTAGAGGACGCTACGCGCCTGGACTAAACATCTAGTGTATATTCCCATTTCAATCTCATTTTTCAGTGCACAAAAGGTAAAAGCAAATTGGACTCGGATAGAGTTTACTACCACTACTACTGTAACACTCCGTGAGTTTCAGTAATGCAGGAGGGAGGGGAAGGTACTTGGGTCAGTTTTTGCCAGGTTTATGCC